CTTAACTTTGATAAAGAATATCTCTTTGGTTTTGAGACTTTAGTCTTTGCTACTTCAGGGATCTTATCTATGCACAATCAGCTTGTAACACTCCAAAGAGAAAGGAAAACTTGAAATCGCATCATATGACCCCTTTAAGTGATGCACAAGGTTTTTGAACAGCACTTCTGAGGAAAAATCACACTCACAGTCGATTAGGACTCTAGACTTACTATAATCTTCCAGAAAAATGTTTTATTCTACATGAAGTGGGTTTCCCTCTTAAGGAATCCACCATATTCATATGTTAAAAACAGTTGTGTCAAGCAAATTAATGATAATTATAATAATTACTTTTTCGGTAACACTTTATTTTCATAGTCCACTTTAGATATTCTTTGCAACTATATGTCAACTAGCAGTCAGAGCATTAGTAGACTGTCTGCTTAATATCTTCTAACACTTTATTTTGATGGGTCCACAACATACAACATACTGACTATGAGAAACTTTGCAAGTATATGTCAACTTATTGTACTAACCCTAAACCTAACCTAGCAGTCTACCCTGAGAGTTAGTAGACATGTAGTGGCAAATTAATGAAAATGAATTTACATGTATTTGCACAGTTACTTATAGTTAGTAGAATGTCTAAAGTGGACTATCAAAATAAAGTGTAACCATTTTTACAGTGCTTTCTGACAGAACTCAAGGCACTGGTCAAAGCATAATCATGTAAACAAAACAAGCAAACCAAACAATATAACAATACATTAATGACACAACACAAGCCTAAGTGTGAATGAATCAGTCTAACTGGGTAAAATAATAAATTTGTTCGTAATGAAAATGTATGATGGATGAAAGAAAAAAAGGAGTTTTGTGTAAACTTCATACATTCTGGCCAGTAGATGTCAGTATAATGTCTATAAACAGTAATAGTATTGGGACAAATAAGACCCTGCAACTTTCAGCAAAGTGCAAAGTACCAAAAAATATATTTAAATTTCAGAGAAAACAAGCAAAAACAACAACAAAAACAGTTTAGATTGGTCTGGAACTGGACTTTTATTGAATAACCTTCTTTGACAGCAAGATACTCCCTGCACAAACAAAATACAGAATTCTGGTAAAGAATTATGCACGATCAACACACATTACATACAGTATATTCAAAATAGTAGAGGGTATTAGAAAAATGCTAATATGTATATGATCCATTTGATCAAATATACAGTGAATATTGCAAATGCCAGGAGTGTTGTCGTGGATTCTCTGCACAATCCAAACCGGCTACACACTTCAGTTTTGATGCAACCCACCCTGTTTCAACAGGGTTCATCTTAATGTGGTAAACAGGACCTTAGAGGCCTCTGTTCTGCAGCAGAAAGTCTCCTCACTCCTCCTCAAGGGTGTGACAGTGGAGGTCCCTCCTTCAGATGTGAATCATGGCTTCTTCAGTGGCTATTTACTTGTTCCGAAAAAGGACTGAGGTCTGCGACTTATTTTACATCTGCAAGGCTGAATTTCTCTCTTTACAAAGGGAAATTCAAAATGCTAACACTGAAAGCTATTCTGGCTCAGGTTCGTTTAGGGCATTGGTTTGTCACTGTAGACCTGAAGGATGGTTACTTTCATATTCAGGTTGTTCAGCAACACAGGAAGTTCCTCAGGTTCGCCTTTGGGGGAAAGGCGTACCAGTGCAGGGTTCTCCCCTTCGGTCTTGCTTTGGCTCCACGGATGTTCATGAAGTGCATGGCTGCTGCTCTGACCCCATTGAGACTCCAGGGCATCCGTGTGCTCAACTACCTGGACGATTGGCTCATCTTGGACCATTCCAGGGAATTGGTGATCCGCCACAGAGACATTCTTCTTCACTACCTTCAATCTCTTGGCCTCAGGTTGAATGCTCAAAACAGTGTTCCACCTGTGACGTCACACACAAGGTTATTTATTTAGTCATTTAGCGATCAAGGAACGCTTGTGGCTGGAAATGTGTTTTGTCTTGGAGAACAGGTGGCATGAAAATGCCTGATAGGTACTGCCAGGGCACCAGTGTTGATGTGTCAAGGTAAGTGTTGGCCGCTTCAAGCTAGGCCATCACGTTTCGGTGAGCATATGTCGCAGACTCCTGGGTCTCATGGCAGCGGCCTCTCCTGTGCTGCCTCTGGGGCTGCTTCATATGAGGCCTTTTCTGTGGCCATTTTATTCAATTGCTTGCATGCCCTCTCAACATGGCAGGACCCTCTCTTTCTTCAGCAAGGAGTCAAGATGGGCACTGTTTGCCATCACCAGATGATTACGACGGACACCTCCCTAACTGGTTGGGGCACGGTCTTCAAGGGCAGACTGGTTTGTGTTGATTGGACAGAAGAGGTTCTCTCGTGGCACATAAACAACCTAGAGCTGCGAGCCGTCTTCCTGGCTCTGGTTATTTTTCTTCCAATTCTGCTGAGTTGTCATGTGATTGTCAGAATGGACAACATGGCGGTTATGTCTCACATAAAC